TCAGTACCTATTATGAGTGTTAAGCTTGTATTATTGTTTTAGTATTTTTTTGACAACAATACTTTAGACTGGCCTGTGAACCCCTACACTGGACTGGTTCTGACTCAAGTGGAAGGTTTGACATCTGCTTGTGTTCATGGAAATGTTATTGCTTTGTTGTGAATGTTCCACACAGTATAGATTAAACCTATCTATCACAAGGGAGACAAGCAGGTTACAGCACTACGTTAAATTAGAAAACAGATCTGTGGAGAGAGCCTATATTCACTGAAGGAATTATTGTTTTTTTGAACAATAGAAACACTGCTGGATGGATATGTTTATTGTCATACATTCGAGGCAAACCAATAACATCTCCATGGAGACAAGCAGGTGGCAGTGGCAGCAGGTGGCATTTAAAACACACCTTTAAATGGACAATAGACTTTAAAATTCACATTGTGTTGTGGTTTGTATCAGCAGTGAAACATTAGCCTCATGATGCAGCTCCAGTTTGTGCTGTTTTGTCCTTGTGACTCCTGTGGATGTTAAACTGTTTTCTGCTCCGTGCCGTGGGGCTGTCGTCATGATCTCCCTGTAGGCTCAGCTCTCACTGACACTCACTGCCATTCACCAATCTCTTTTTCTTTTCCTTTCTTCTCTTTCTTTTCACTGTTTTCTCTCACTTTAAAATGCTGAGAATCTCTAACCAACAGATGAAGCCGTCCCAGGGATTAACTTCTACCTTAAACATCAACGCATGTGCATACATATTAGCATCAGTCACATTTGAGATGGGATCCATGGCAATGTTTATTCCACTAAAAGCAAAACGCAGTCAGTTATTAGGATGTATCTGCTACACAATTATCATGCACCTTGTCTGCGTTTTAAGAGGAGAGAGTGTGCTTGGTTTACCCTGTTTTTCTTTACACCTTTTTTGTTGAATAATTCATGAATCTTCTGACACTGCTATATTTCAGATTTTTATTTTGATCAGAGTAGAGCCTATTAACTGTGTTTCTGCAGTAAAACCAATTTTTCTGTTGTTTATTTTCTGTTGTCATTGCAGTCTGGAAGTCTCTGAAATCAGCTCAGTAGACTTGGGGAAACAAAGGGGTCTGTTGTCCCATGTCCCAGGGTTTGAGGGCCCTAGAATTGGACCCTCTTCCTATTCATTTATATTAGAGGGGGGCCCATGTGAGGCTTCTTCCCCTGGGCCCCCAAATTCTTGTCGATGGGCCTGGTCAAACTATTCATATTACGATTTTCTTGAGGCCATCACAATTTTTATTTCGGCATGATTAAACTTAGTAATCTATCTTAGTATCGTCTTGTAGAGCTAACTAAAGTCGCCTGCTTCTTCTAAAAGTTCACGCTTCATTGTACTGTGGTGACTCCAAATGTCATTCACTCAGAGAATTGCTGAGGCTGATTAACAGGACGAGTGGATGGGGAAAAGTGTCTATGTTTGAGCGTAGATATATATTTAGGAGAAATTTGTGAATCATGATATGACAATTTTACCAAAATAGCAGATCGTCACAGTGATGAGCTCACCATTCATTTTTCATTCCTTATCAACCAGCTCTAGTTAAACCATTGTGCTCAAGGGCTCCCCATTGTACAGGCGTTTTGAGTATAACCTCGTGTAGTCTGTGCACTAAATTGTATTCCACTATAATTAAAATTAAGGTGAATATTTTTTAGCAGTACACAGTATTTATATTTCCTTTACACCTCAACAGTATGTGCCACATACTGACATATTAGTTTTATCTGAAATACCTAATCTCTATGAAACTGACCCCATCTGGCCATGACCAATCTTAAACGTCCATGTTAAATGTGGTAGGTTGTATAAATACCCTTTAAACATCTCTTTTCCATCTTTGTAGTTCTTTCCCTGTTTTGTTGCTCCTGGCAGCTGAAGCCCTGGTTGACTGAAAGGCTGTTTACAGAGTGTGTGTGGGATAAGTGATCAGAGCGATAGTGACTTCCACCATGATAAATCTGGGTCAATGTTACCCCCACCCCCTCCACCACAGGCCATCGTGAGAACGGAGAAAAAGAAAGGAGGAAACCCACAGCAGACTGCACTGTGCCGTGGACTTAAGCATGGCCACGCAGGAACCTCTTCCATGGGTCGGTATGGGTGCTCCGCTGGGATAAATAGCTCTTCCCAAATGATTTTGATATGTTTCCCTCTCCCAGTGCACTGTGATTTACATGTTGAGATTTGTGCCCTGTTAATATCTCCTTAACCACTTTGTTTGTGTGAGCTTCTGTTGTCTTCACTAACGATCCTGACCCAGTGGTGATGTGTGGTGCATCTATGTGAAACACAATATAGGAAATAAAGAACTGTATGCACACTGTATATATATATATATAAAAAATGGCAATTTGGGAATTATTCCTCTACCAACTTTCCATATTCTTTTTTCTTTCTTTTTTTTCGGAGTTATCTTCAGTTCTGCATTGAAATGGTATCCCTTTAAAAAATCCTAGATTTATATGAAATAGATGTTCTATAGCATACAGTCTATGCATGACATTTTGGTCACACTTTAATAATAATTACTCTTTAATTTAGACTTAATAAAGCATGAACAACAGACTTAATTCATAATGAACTAATTGTTTATTAAGAATGATTCAAGCTTAGTAACTAACTATTTAATCTATATCCCTAACCTTAACTCCTGACCCTTTAATGAAGTAGTTACTATGTCTGATCATCCTGTTTAACAAATGAAGTCTTTACTCAGGCTTTATTGAGGCTATTTAAGGTCTGGCTATTGTGGTAGTATTAGTAGTATTGTGTAATTATTATATAGTGGGACCAGAATGTCTTTTTACTCAAGAGATTACTAAAAAAACATTAAACTTTTGGTAAAGTCATTAATATTTGGGTTTTAATATATCAAACACAAATGAGATTGTATTTTGTTGCCAATTCCAAGGCTGTCCTTTGCCAAAGCATTCCGGTGCAGCTCAAGCACAAATTAAAGCACTTAATCAACAAAACAACTCCAGCGCCCGGTCGATTAATTATATTTTGAGGGGTGGATGTTCTGTTAATGACTGCCATTTTTCTTTGTTACAAATTGTTTGAAATCATATCAATAATACAAATTAGCCCACTGCATAGTGTAAATGTGACAAAATTTGTTGTATATATTTTATTACCGAAGAAAGTCAGAAATACCTTTAAATTGTCATTTACAAACTTGCAGTGGCCGTCGTTTCACCCCAAATGAACCCCAATAATGATAGCATTCTATTTAAGCACATATGTAATCATTTTTCTTTTTGATTTATATTGAGAAAAAATGGCTGTACAACATATTTTAATCATTAAATGATTAGATTTCTACAAATGTGTAAATGTCACACAATGCTTTATATGTATTTTATCACTGTTCTTATCTATAACGTGGTCAGTGTTTGTAAAGTCACTGCGATGTTGCTACTTCCTGGTTGTGTTGCATTGTTTTGTATGTGGCGACATTACTTATATCAAGGCCTGGACCATTGCTTATTTCACATTGGCCTGAAGGAGACAGATATTTGAGGATACATTAGAGACAGCATAGACATTTTTATTTTGATAGCCTGATTTAGGCAAGAAATTGTGGCAAAAATCCCATTATGCTAGCTGTAATGGACATGTCATACTTGATATTTGTTTACAACTTTATTTTAGTTGATTGAATGTGTCTTTTCTAGTGTGATGTATCCGAACAGACAGAGTAGTTGTCAGTTTTAATGAATGAGGTCTTAAGAGGCTGCACTCTCATTAGGATTAGCAAGGATTTTGCAAATATTTACACAATTTTGACTATGCAAGCTTGAACTTTATAAACCCTCACCACATATGAACATGAATGAGATCTGGGCCTTGACATAAGCAGGTAACAGGCTATGAGGTACATGTAATGAATGGATTTAATTGGGGGCTTTAAATGGTGTATTATCCAGTCAGAGCTACATATGGACCTCTATAGATGTTACCTATTTTCCTTTCATATTTTGCCAAACTGAAAGGAATACAAAATTAGCGTTTTGTTTGTTGTATATTACTGACTTAAAGGTGCAGTATGCAACTTTTGGGGGGAGAGTTCGCCATCTATTTCTTTTGACTGTTCAACACAAAGTATGGCAGTAAACATATCTATCTCCAATAGGTGACACCACCAGGAAAATTTACGGGTCAGATCTGTAGTGAGAATTGATGCAAGTCTAATGCCATATTGTGGAGCACTCCAGGAAAATCAGTAAGATCTCCATGGAGAAAAGCAGGTGTCACCCCCACCAGAAAAGTTACATAGTGCACCTTTATATACAACAATATGCAACAAGTTGGCTTCTGTAATGATGGCTATGTGAACTATAAGTCAAAATACTTTTATAATACTTTCATTTTGACTTAAACCAACAGTTGATACCACAATTCCCAGTATCCTAAACTGTTGTTACTGTATATTTCATTTGTTTGTGAATAAAAAAGTTTGATCAATACTACTCCTGTCACAAAAATTCCTATATCAACTTATCAACTTACCAATATGCTAGTATTTATGGATAGCAGAATACTATAGCTTTATGGATCTGCCAATTCCTGTTGAGCTAATACCAATGCAGGAACTTTACTTTGTATAAACAAAAGTTCAAACATTAGACTTTCTGGATGAGCTACCACCAGTAAATAGTCTTATTACATGACTGTATATGTCAAACTAGGATACTGACTGAATCGAAATTTAGAAGCTGATATTTGATCCAGCAAAGTTCTCAGTATATGCGCCAATATCAGATACCAGTATCTGATCGGTGCATCCTTAAACAAAATTACTTCAGATCTTGTTATCGTGACAGGCCTAATCAATAGAAGAATATTCCAAAGATAACATAACCAACAACATTTTCCAATGACCAAATGAAATATAAAGTGCATCATCAGTAAACATCCAACACTCTTACACAGTCTTTTCTCTCTCCCTCTCTTTATCAAACAGCCTCCCACCGGTCCAGATGCCTCCGCTGCCCCTGGACGAGCGCATAGTGGTCATCCAGCGCCCTAAGACCTTGGCCCTGTGTGAATCATCCCCACAAACCGTCCAGCAGCACTCCTCGCACATCTCCGCCTCTGCTAACGGACAGATCTCACATTCTTCTCAGTTCCATCCACCCCAGTCCAGCTTCTACTCCTCAGCCTGCAAGTCTCTCAGTTTGGAATGCAAGCGGAGAGGATCCCGAGTGCAGAAATTCCCGGGGAACCAGTCTGTGGTGCCGGCGGGGGTCAGACACACCCCTAGCCACTGTCATAGCAACGGCACAGTCACTCTACCATCCCACACGCATACTATTGACATCAGAGTGACAGTAGACAAAGGGGGGAGAGGGGCGGGGCATAGTAACTCATTACGGGGTAGTGCCAAAGGTAGCAGAGGGAAATGCGTCTTGTCACAAGCTGATCAAGAACAATGTAACAGGAAGTCACAGGTAGCAACAGGGAGATCAGATGGATCTGAAAGATCACAGAGAAGTCACCAAAGACAATTGAGTTTATCTCCTGGAGGGGGTCTGCAGTTTGTCCCAGCGCAATCCCAGACAAAATTCAGGGGTGAAAAGGAAAGCAGCAGCTACCAGCTCCGAAACAATCAGGAGTATTCTTCTTTGGGACACAAGAAAAGCTCCAAACTGGGAACGGTCCATCAAAGCCATAACACTCACAGTCTACCTTACCAGCACAGCTCCGTCCCCGTGCCCCATGCTTCAATCCTAAACTCAAATTTCACCCCTTCTCCTCCCTCCCAACCTCCCCCTCCTCCCCCTGCTCCGAACCCATTTCAACAACTCAGCCAACCTCGCCCATCCCGACCTAGAGACCCCCGCCCACACATTCTCCATGGGTTACCCCTGTCCCCCTGCTCCTCGCACAATGGCACCTTCCCAAGTCCGGACCATACCTGCACCATCGACTGCACCCATCCGTTTAGCTGCGGTTGCTGGCGGTTGCTAAGATGCAGAGGGTGTAAAGGCCGATCGTCGAGTTGTCACGGAGGAGGAGGGAGCACGTCTACCTCGTTTTCCTGTGTTCATAATGCTGCCGCTGTCAAAAGAGGAAGCAAAGATATGAAACATTTAGCTGGCTGTTTATCCACTGCTTCAACTTCCAACACCTCTTCTTCTAATAGCACTGTGTCAGATTGTCGAGGAAAAATGTTTAAACCTTGTGCGTCTTGTTCTGGAGAAGCAAGCACCTATGAAAGTCCTGCTATACTTCGGAAAAGACTGGTTGGAGGGTGCTTGCCTTGTAACCCACTGTCATCTTCTGGTCCGATCCGAGTGCTGCAAAGCTGCGTAACAGGTTGCAATCCCAAAACTTCCCAAACAGGCAGCTCCACGTGCAGTTATTGCAGCAGTGATCCAATAGTTGTAACTTACAATCCTCGTAGGGCCAAACCCCCAGCAGCAAGAGCGATTGGAGGAGCTCAGTCTATGGGAATGTATGATGATGATGACTACAATGTCCGCAATATCTGGCCCGAAGAACTGGCCAAAAAGATGGCACATTCAAAATCACAAAATCTCCGTCCCAGCATAGGAATGGGAAACACCTGTCCAAATCAAACTCAAAATATCACCAATGGAACAAGCTTGCTTTTGGACTGTCAGAACCTACCAGATTACGGTACAGATTATGCAGGGAGACGCAGGTTTCAACAAGGAAAAATGTCCACCACTTTTGATTTCAAAAGTTACAGATTGGGGTATAATGATGGTCACAACTCACTGAATAGACTGATTACTAAGGAAGATACAGGACTCAGGGAGCATCTCGAAAATGACCAAGACACAGCATATCCTCGATCTCCTCCTCGCCCTAACTCTCCCCCGTCACCTGTGTCTTTCTCGCCCCCACCCTCTGCACCCAGCACCCTCATCAAACCCAAACCAAGGCCTCGAGATGGGGGCCACTCTCTCCCCTCTGCACAGTCATTGCACCTGGCCTTGAACTCTTTCAACAGAGGGCAAGACGAAGAGAACGGCAGAAGTAAGCATGAGTTATTCATTCATTGGTTTTAACAAATTCATTATAATTTTAAGGCCATAAATTGTCAACTGAAAATCTCCATGGACAGATAATATAAGTTTTAAAAAGTCAGAAATACATTAAAACAGCAATTTCCAAATTTGCCAGTGTTGTTTGGCAAGCTTCCTTTTAAATAAAACATCACATAGGCCTCCCTAATAATAATTTGCACACCAATCAAACAAATATGTATTAAGTTCCCCCCTGGATTTACATATAAAATATAGATAATAACAGCTATACTACAGATTTTAAATATTAAATAACGAATTGTATTATTAAGTATTTTCAATGTACATATGTATAATATATATATAACAATATAACAAGATTTAGCCCTATATTGAGTTAGATCATATTCCATTTTTGCAGTATTTGGATCAAATCAGAATGTTTAGTACCAACTTTCAAACTGCTTGGTTTGATACATATACACAGTGTGTTTAGGGCACTGCTTTAGGCTGTGCATTTGTCTAAAGCAAATGCATTACTGTCATGGGTTTGGCTATTTTTGGAGCCGATTGATTCACTGTTGATACTGATGCAGCCACCAATGGGAGTATCTCTCACATAGACTTTTTCTATGGAAGGAGATGATTACCCACAGATTAGACCACAAAATAGTTTAATGACAAAAAAGAGATTTACAACAAACAAGAACATGCATATATATGTGTGTGTGTGTGTGTGCGTGCATGCGTGCGTGCGTGTGTTTTTTTTGGTGGTTTTCAGATTCCATAATGTGATGCTGTTATACTCCCAGATGGGTGCAAGAGACAGTTTGTCCTATTGATTACATTTTACTTTATTTATGAAATGTTGGAAAAGTAAATTCCCAAATATGGAAACAGATTTAATGACTACACCCAAGACCATGCTATATTACAACAAAATCAGCAATTGAACAATATTAATTTTAGCTATTAGCTAGTATTAAATAATAATGGCCTATATAATGTTGTGATGTCATCTGAAACCCAGCAATAGCTGCTTCTCATTGAATAGGATCCCAGGCTAGAATGTCACATAACTGATCAATGTCTAAACGCTTCATTAAATGAGAGATCAAATACTCAATACAACATGATTTTTTCCAACTTTTCTATAATCACTCCGATTGTAGTTAATGATATGACTGTGATCCTGGTCCCACCTAGCCATACTGTAAATTGATATTACACTTGTTGTATCTTTCAGGGCACCTCACCCTGCCCCTCTCCTCCTCGCTGCCAGCATCCCTGTCCGATGAGAGCGTGATGACTCCAGATGCAGAGAATGCTGTCATTAGTCCCATCCTGCCTTTCCTTTATCTTGGGAACGAAAGAGATGCCCAGGATTTGGATCTGCTGCTGCGTCTTAACATCGGCTTCGTAGTAAATGTCACCACTCACCTGCCCCTCTATCACCAGAAGGCCGGTCTGCGCTACAAGAGGCTGCCCGCTACTGACAACAGCAAGCAGAACCTTCGCCAGTACTTCGAGGAGGTCTTTGAGTTCATTGGTGAGTCGGTGTTACCAATCTTGTTTAGATCTTCTGGTATGCAAAAAGCTAGTTATTGTGTTAGGTGGTACTTGGTGTGGAAAGTTTAAGAACCACTGTCCAATCAATTCACAGTAATAGTACTATCTTCATGTGCTGTAACTTCAATATAATGGGCAACAGTAGCTCAGTGTTGGTCCACTGATCCAAAGGTCGGTGGTGTCCATCAAAACTGGTGGATGAATGTGTGTGAATGGGTGAGTGGTTCCTTGATGTAAAGTGCTTTGAGGGCCTTGAAGGTGGAAAACGCTATATAAAATGTGACCATAATCTATTTTGTCTGTCCCCAGAGGAGGCATATCAGAGTGGGCAGGGGGTCCTGGTGCACTGTCAGGCGGGCGTGTCCCGTTCTGCCACAGTGGTCATTGCTTACCTTATGAAGCACACCCTCATGACTATGACCGATGCCTACAAATACGTACGGAGCCGACGTCCAGTGGTCTCCCCCAATCTCAACTTCATGGGTCAGCTGCTGGAGTTTGAGCGGGACCTGAACTCCGGAGTGACCCCTCGAATCCTCATGCCCAAACTGAACGGAGTGGAGACACAGGTGTGACCAAGAAGGCACAAAAAGGGTCGGACCAATGTTCCCACAGCACAATATTCCCACAGCTCCATGTTTGTTAGAAAAGTCTGAAACGGGTTCTTTGCTCCCACATTTTATGGACATTTAAGCACTTTGTGTTATAGTTGGCACTTTGATCCATGGCTGTAGTAATAGTCTGAACCTTCTTATAGAATTTTGATTAGAGTGGGACTAAATACCTTCACACAATCACATTGCTAATACAGCTGGTAAACTGTGCAGTACCTGGAGGACTAAAGTGTACTGTCCAGTTTGGGCCTGGATATATGAGGAACAGTGTGATTGGTCTAACAGGTATTACTTCAAACTCTGCCCCTGTAGCTCTTTCTGATTACAAAGACCTGGCTGTAATCAGGAGTCTTGTGTGATGCTATGTAGTACTTGAAATTGCAGTGGTCAGTGAAGGCAGCACACACTCAGTTTTTGAACACAAAGCTGCAAATGTACTTTTCAATAAAATTACCCAAAAAAGACTTAGGAAGAATAGACACATACACAGTTTAGTGGCAAAAAAAAGGATGTATCGTTTAGTTACACTTTAAGTTTTGGGTCTTTTTGTACGATAATGTTTTTTTTTTTGAGATTATGGCTAAGGTTAGGATCTGGGTGAGGGTGGGGTTTATTTAATTACTTTGTAAAATATCTTTTAAAAGTGAGGAAACAGGACTGTAGGAACATAAAGCTGTGGGAACATAGGTTTGCTCTTGAGTGTAGGTTAGAGATCTACAAAAAAGCCAGATTTTATAAGAAACACAACAAGACGGTGGCCTGTTCAGTAAATAGTGCACTTTTAATACTGTGAAACTGGTTGGATCGATAGCTGACAAACGAATCTTATTCCCATTACACTGTTTTTTATGATATTGTGCCAATGTTTTATATAGTCCTTCAGGCATCAAATAGCTCTTCCATTTTCTTTCGCATTTCAAGCTTCACAATTGCATGAAGAAACTAAACATTGAGAGAGTTTACGGTTTCACTCATAAAAAAACAAAAAAAACAAACAGCATATGTAGCAACACACAAGCTTCCCAAAGCACTTTACTGCCCATCTGGTTTGTAGCTCAACGGACAGCCTTTAATCATGGTTGTATCCAGTTTGTCCTTGCGATACGTGTCACAGAGAAAATAGGACCTATGCTGAAGATCTGAATGGCATTTAGTTCAGGATAAGCAAACAGCCTTCAGAAAGCTAACCGGTAGCATACTGGTAGTACATGGCTTAAAATACTACTAAAACATAATGGCAGTTTTAACCGTACGCTTCGATAGATACTTTGCACTGACATCACGCTGGGTTTTTTTTTTTCTTTCTTTGCAGTTTCCAAGATTGTCTTAAAACTCAAGAACAAAATACAAATGGATTTAAGCAGCACATTATCAGGAGCCTATGATCAATATGAGTGTTCATGGTCCAATATGGTTAGTGGGGCTAACGCTAATTAATGCTAGGCTAATGCTAGCCAGCTTGTGATTAATTTTGTGTGTGAGAGACTTGTTTAAGCTTACAGATCATCTCACCAGTTGTAGTTCCAACAAAGTCCATTCTTTCAGGTCAGATTGTGTTAAAATAAAGCTCAGATTAAAGTCTAACTTGAGTAATAGAGCATTTAACAGTCTCGTGCTTTCAGTTAGCTTCACACCCCCAGGGAATGTTGATGGCATCAGCTGCAAAGTATCAATATCGTGCTTATACAGACCACTTTAAACTGTGCTCACTTAAGTTTACAATTTAAAGACCAATCCTGAGCTTGTTCTAGTTTGGTTTAGAGCATGAGATGAGTAGGAATAGGAAACGATTTTACAAAACACATTATTTTATTAGTTTGCCTTATGATCCTCCTTCCTTTTTCATTCACGACTATGCATTACCCTGACTCTAAAGGCATTTGTTTGACTGAAGTTAAATTAACTCACTGTGAGGTTTTTTATATTGTTAATGCAGGCCTCAAATCCTCTGCTTTGTTGGTTCCTCAATACAGGAAATACACTGCAAGTATGATCATTTTATTAGGTTAAAATGTAATGTAAGTACATTAATTTATTGTTATTATTTGATTTTGCAGTTATTGTGTTGTTGGAAAAGATCATTTTGCACATTTTTCTAACTGATGCCATACCACACTTAAATTATTAAAATGGTATATAGCCACTTACTTGTGGTTATAATAACTATACCTAATGTATAATGAAAAAAGACTTAATTTATAATGGGCAAATAGTTTACAACAAATGATTCAGGCTTAGTGACTAGGAGTTAGGGTATTAATTAAGTACTTATTAAGCCAGCCTCATTCTTAATAAACAACTACTTCATTATGAATTAAGCTTTTGTTCATGCTTTATTAAGGATAATTAAAGCATAGTTATTGTAAAGTGTTATGGTATTTTTCTTTGGACATCAACTGTAAAATATGTGTGAAGTGTTTATAAAGAAACGTTTCTTAATGCATGACTGTGCAAAGCAGAAGCATTTGATTAGTTTTGTATCCATTTAATGCTGAGTTGGGTTTGTACAATCACAAAAAATAAATGATGCAGATCTGCCATTGACCTTATAAGGAAATGCAAATTTGAAACTGAAAAAAAAAAAAGTTCTTCACAGTGAATTATCATGAAATGGTAAAACTGTTACAAAGCGAGAAAACAATGCATTTGATGGTGGCTGTTTTATACATTGTGTTTTGATAATGAAATGTCGAAGCCCCTGTTTCAGGATTCCACAATAAATAGCTGTAAATATATTGACCTGTTCTTAAAACCAAAATGCCTTTGACTTAGCCTTGTTGGTGTTGCTACTCTGTGATATGTGGGGACTTATTTTAGACTGACATGGGCCCTAGATTTCCATTGCCCGCAGACCTCAGTCATTCTAATTTATTATACCTCTCTCGCCTTGATTTGCTGGGAATCTGAATATGCGCTCACCATCCAGTCTCTCAGTTTTGGCTTGTTCTGAGTGTTTGACAAAGGGCCTGTCTTTTCTACAGACTTTATATGCAAAGACACTGACGGGAGTCATTCGTTATGGACTTGAGTCCGAGCTGACCTCAGAAATTTGTACTTGAGAGATCACAGGAAAGGTGGACCTGAAGTTACAGCGCCAGTATCTTAGTGCGTGTTGTGTGAAAAATGCTTGTGTTTGGCTCTCGAAAACATCCAGAAGTGGACATTTCTGTATCTATAAGCTTACGTCTTTGTAAATCTGTGCATTAATTATACATGTCAAACTTTACTCATGTTTGTAATTATTGCTTATTTTGACACATGGTCTTTGTCCCTGAACCAAATACTGAATTTAAATATCTTGATAATGGGAGTACTGGTATTCTTTCATGTGAAAGGCAGACCACCACTTTTCTTCCTCTTTGGGGTAAAAACTCTTCAGGTTTGACTATCATTCTACTGTGCTGTTTACCCCATTATGTCCTTATTGAACAAACCTGTGATCAACTCTGTTGTCCTTGCCTTGCTTTTTTGAGCAAATGTAATATTTTCTTATTGTTAGAACTTAAGTGTATATTTAGAACCTCCCCAGTGATTCTGTTGTTCAGAATACAGACTTCTCCAGAGGTGCACTGTGACTAAAACAATGCTGCTATATCACAGGACTATGTTTGATCAATACAACACAAAAGAACTCTCTGAAACGGCTGGCTGACATTGCCCTGATCCATGCTCCACACTGCACCAGTGGAGCACATGTTTCTCCAAAAACAAAAGATAGAGACCATGTGCACCAAAGTACTGTTTGAAAAGCCCAGTGGCTCTTTTCTTAGATGTGTTCATATGTGTAATTCCTATTTATTTAAATTATAACACATACTCTAAACATGTTAGGCACTAACAAAGACTAAAAGATAAATAAATTAGGCACTAGGAAGAAATGTAGTTACACGCTGCCAACTGTACAACAAAATATGTTAGTTTGATAGAAGCAAATGAGAAAAAAAACAACCAATAATCAATATACAAATTTGTATGTAGCACAATATATGCAAAGTGGATGTGTAATACTTAATACATCTGTTGCTTCACAGGCAGCCAGTGGAAACTGACACACACATTATTATCGATGACTTGAATGCATAGCCTGTATAGTCTATGCGTGAATGGTGGGTTAGTTTGACTGGTGTAATTGGATTCTTCTAGCCACACAAAATAAAGGCATCATTAGATCTTCCTTCATGTTACACTCGGCATTTGACTTGCTTTTTTACACTGGTGGAACAAATGTTTATTTTTCCATAAAGTGACTTAATGCTGTCCTGTCTTTTTTTCTATTGCTGAATATGATAACATCGCCATATGGTTCAAACTGATGACTGGATTGTGACGTTGTTCATGTTTATTTTAAGTAAACACACTGGAACTGGCTCTTGTAATAAAAAATAAATAAAACTAGAGAATGTGGCTTTGGTTACTGTGATCCTAGAGAGCGTGTGGCGTGAATGCAAGCCTTCAATACACCACTGTTTTGTGATTGGCTGAAAAGCACTTCACTGAAAGATCTGTGTGAATGAAACAGGATTGTCTGTTCAGAGTTATTGACCTACTGCATTAATGTCGATACAAACACCCAATAGGGACTGACAATTCACACAAGCACCACACCACTTGCATAAGAGCTCTGTAGCACTCATGGGACCGATCAATCTATGGGAGAGGTTAAAACTAACTGAATGGCAATGGCCTGCAAATGAAAAACATAAGTGCTGAAACATACTCCACTATTGACAGCTGTTAAAATGGTGCGCTCTAAACTGCCACTCAGTGTTTTTACAATATTAAAAATTACAAAATCATAACATGCAACTCCACTTTGGGGTTTATTATGGTATTCTTATAGAAAAGGCTTTAGTTGTTTTAAATCAGCTGATCTAATCTAGTCTATTTTTTTCATTATAGTGCAAATCTGTCCATTCTTACAAGTCTCATACCCAAAACATTTCAAACAGGGTCTGATTCCTTATGTTATAATATAAAACACATGTACTGTGCATTGTTTGGTAAAGGGTGGGTTAGACAGTTGTGTGCACATGATGTAAATTAATAATGACCCACTCTTTCTGCAATAAGTTAAGGCAGACTCACCTTAACTAACCTTTTACAGGACTTCGGTATGGGTTTCTAGGCACATCCATTCTGGTCTCAAAGGGAACGCCAGTCATTCATTTTCGACACTACTACAGCAGTCCCCATATACCTGATATTAATTAACAGCAGCTATTTCTTGCCACAAGTATTTAAGAGGCTTTACAGAGGGTGAGATGACAGAAATAGCAGTAGATAGCCTAAGTGGGAAATATATGTTTGATTATTTTAGGCCTATATCAAATTGCTTTCCCACGGTTTTCGAGTTGTTTCACTTACAAACATGATACAAGACCTGTTACTAACATCCAGCAGATGGAGCCCGCAAACTGTAGTTTTGTG